ACTTTCATGCGCACTTCTTGAAGACTGGTTGAAAGGGACACGGAGGTATTCATACACAACAAAAACCAGCCATTAGAGAGAAGACATAAATAAATTTTCAGTTCAAAGTTCACGGAGATATACTCAGTTTAATTGATAGCGCAATGAAGTTCGAATTCGAACACATGACCTCCGATGAGCCGTGTTGGTTTGGTATCCCCTTTAAGAACCTTAACGCATAGCAAGATTATTCAAAACTATTTTTCAACTAGTTTCTCCCGAGAGCTATAACGCAAACAGAGAAATATTGAATGGGAAAAGCTTTAGAATATTGAAAAGGTTTTTTAAAACTCTCTGGTTTGAGTCATTAATGATGTAGCATTGATGTTAACCTTGGCCAGAAAAGTGGGATTTATAGCACCAAACAAACAAAATTTGGTTAGAAGTTAAGTGAATACACGAGCACCACTGTGTGTGGAAATCAGTGATATTATCCATTGTCTTGAGCCATTCATTGGGTTGGTTATCACTCAGGAGGGTTAATGTTGTCAGTGCTTCTTACCGGAAAGGACATCGGCAAAACTTTCACTCAACGGGATTCTATCCAATATCAGGACAAATATATTTCCACAGTCATCACAGTCCACGGAGGCTGAGCACTTGCCTCACTATTTGAGCAAACCATATTGATCCTCTGTTTGTCCAACCAGGCTCGTGCAAACCTGCGTCGAGGACTATATTTGAACGCTACGAGTTTGTGTTGATCCGTCTCCCAAACTGATACCCCCCAAGTGAACTTACAGACTCTGTTTGTGATACAACTGCCAACAACAATGATGCGATGATGAAAAAACAGGAATTTAGGATTCTTACCTATTTTTATTTCCTGTTATGTACGGTGTCAGCGCCAAGTTGGTTTTGGAGAACTGGTCAAATATCAAAGGTTTTAACACATCTGGTAGGGTACACTCAAGAAAACCCATCCAAAACAGGGTGAGCACACGCATAAAAACACACAAACGATCTGTTGTGTTCACGACTCACGCCTCCACTTCTCGTTCACGATAATGCCATTCACGCAGTTCCATATCTTGCAAAATTTTTCTTCGACGGGCCACTTTTTTCGGATCATTGGCAATCGCACTGTACGGTTCTAGATTCATCTCAATCTGTCTTCGTTCCCGTGCACGCTCGATCATTTCCACATCATGCAATCCGGCTGGCAATCCTCTGCCGTAGCCCAACGTAGCCAATGTCAATACTTCCGGCGTTTCACCCACGTTGACCACATACGGAGGTGTATAGGGATCGGTTTGGGCTTCCGAATCACGATAATCTGTCTGAACCGCTCGGCTAATAGCAATTGGACCGCGTGGTGAAATTTGATCGCTACTGATCACTCGTCCTTGCCCGAGAGACTGAATGGCCATTTCGACGTGCATCATGTCGGTAGTGGGCTAGTTAGAATGAGAAAACGGAAATCTGTTGTTCATATCAGTGAGAGTATTGATGAATAAAAAATTCTAATCACACATACATACACACACATACACACACACACACATACATACATACATACATACATACATACATACATACATACATACATACATACATACATACATACATACATACATACATACATACATACATACATACATACATACATACATACATACATATATAATCATATATAAAGACAGAAAGTGACTGGATGTATGATAGAAGAAAGACAGAAATCTAATTGACACAAGTGAATAAGGCAATAGTTTGAAATCCACGGGAGAAAACATTCATGGAAGTTTTGGGTAGTCCTAAATATATAGTGAATTCAGTATTTTTGGTTTTCCTCTTTCTTACCTACTGATTGTGCCTGTTGAGGAAAGTCATTGAAGTGATTTCAAACCATTCTTCTTTGGTTAACAAAAGCTGGTTACGTATTTGCTAATTCTAGAGCTTGACACCAAAATTCGATCGAGCTAGATGATTGAATGTTTCTCTATGCACGACAACAGTCTCAGTTGCCCCATTGAAACAAGGGGTGTAACTAAACTGGACTTGTTGAGAATATTGCCCACCAGAGACAAGTGATTTGATTGCGGTATGTGCTGAATTTGATCGTATACTGATTGAGCATGAACTGGAAAGCTAGAGAAATTCTCCATACAATTGTTTTGCCATGGTAGATCTGAGTGAGCAGTATGTTTGCATATCAGTTTCCGTTTGTATAAACGGTAACGTTCGTTCTTCAGTCGGGTGGATGGAGGTATCGCCAAAATTCGATTTTAGTCCGTTCACTTTTCACAAATCTATCATATATTGTTTTGCCTAAACAGTTCAGTTTATTCATTTGGCAAAGTGTTACACGTACGGAGTTAAGAACATGTGGGGTTAAGCACGTACAGATCGAAGTCTCAAACTATCAGAATTTGTAGTCATCTACCACACGCTTGGGTTTGCATTTGCTACAATTTATCCCATTATGTTGTGGGATAGAAAACATTTCACATTCCTTGAAATGCTTTTATCTTTTCTGCTGGTCAAGTAGGTGAAATAATAACTGTTTGCTCACCTCACATGCTGTTAATTGCTTTTAAATTCTACACCAATTACTTGATCATCACATGTTCAACCTTCCAATCACTGATTCCATTAGGTGTCGAAAGGTGGAAATATCGCCAAAATGGTTGACGGCTCAAATGGCTCTCTGAACTAAGCTAATTGCGAGTTTTATTTGGTCTTGTTTTTAGACCACTATTCATCTTATGCGGGAGCTCACTGGTTCGCATTTCTGTCTACAGAAGATAATTACAGTAACAATATCAAATTGGAAACATTCACGTCATCGAAATATGCTTTCACATGTGAAACTGGTGTCCTTCCCTATCCGATTGTCGACACAAGAACCATTGATTCGATTAGAGGCAGATACAGCCAGATCGTTGATGGGAAGGATGTTGCAGTATTTTATTTTGAGGATGGTGTCTTGTTAACGTATATATTCTTTCTTTTGCACTTTACAGACTCTCCTCCGTTCAAATTCTTATAAATTTGAAACCGTACGTGGACCTTCTAGTACAGAGTTGGCAGTCACATTATACTTGATTTTAATACATATATATATATATTCTGTTGACCTTGAAATAGCTGATCTTGTATAATAATTTATTTCACTTTATATAATCATTAGTCTTACCATAAAGTGAAACAAAATAAAATAAATGCAAAGAAATTAGCAGAAAACCCTTTTTATCTGATGGTATAGCTCAGGTGTGCATGCTGAAGAATGAAACCCATATTCTGCCTAAGTTCAAGTGATTTTAATGAATAAGAATCAAAGACAGTTCTCATTGTTGGTTATTGGTTCGCCCGTATTTATGGAGTAAGATATGCACATCAGAAGTTGACTGTAACAAAGTGCATTACCCTAACCTGCTGAATTGTATTTGTATCATGTAAGAAGAAATGGTTTGGCACAACACAAAGTCATTTGCATATTTCAAAATTCGTGCGGGAGAAACACAGGGAATATCACAAATATAAATGAAAAATAGGTATGCGAATAACGCAGACTTTTGCCGATCAAAGCAATGTTCTTCCCCAGCAATATAAACAGGTTCACTTGAAAAGTCAACGTGCGTGAGAAATTTTTTCCTATTTACAAAGTTCCAAGAAGGTCATATAATTATGCTCAAAATCGGAATGGTTGCCAACGCAGCCTTTTATGAGCCTAGAAGCAGTTTTCCTGAACATCAGACCTCCCACTGTCATCTGGTTCCCGGAGAATAACTAAGATCTACTTGCATCTGTCCAAGCATGAACCAAAAGTTTCAATTATCAAAGTTGCTCTCCTTCCTCCAGATTTGTGTTTGTTTTACTGCAAACGTGCCCGTTTATCCACCACACTTAGAAACAAAAATAGGCCCTTTTTCTTTTTCGTTTTAGCTTTATCGATTTAGCACAAATTTCGTCTTACTCTTTTGAGAACATTCGTTTGTTTGATGGAGTCTCGATCAGCTTGAAAATCATTTAAGATTAGGTTCTTCCATATCCCTTGAAACTAAATGAATGCAAACGCTTTTTAAAGCTTCGCCGCACTACCAAATCAGCGTTTATCTCCCATCCATGCTCTGTATCTATGTTTCCTTCATTTACCTTAGTAAAGCAGTCCACAATAATTGTTTTTATGTCTAACTCAAAGGCACAGTGTGTTAGGTATTCTTCAGCCTAAGCCGTTATTTGCAGGCAAATCCCGGACTGATAAAACCTCAGTATCAGTTCAAATGTTTAAAGACCCCTTTCTGATATGGCACCTCATATTCTCAACAAAATCTTAACCAATTTACTTTCAAAACCCCAAGTGTTTTGTATTCTCAGTAAAACTTCTTGCACTTTAAGCTCTATCTAAAACCAATATCAGAGCACTTTTGAAGTAACTCACATCATGCTTCCTGGATGGTGCTCATTAGTTGTACGGCTAATATAATAATTGATGCAAAATCAAATAATAGTGAAGCTCATGCATTTATTCACTACATTATTACCTAGGGTTTATTTGGACTCTATATGTTTACTGTTTTCTACTATTAATTTAATATTCGATCGAACCAAAAACGTGGCCTAAAGAATAAGCTAAAATCACTGCACGAATGTGCAAGGTTAATAATTATACTAACTAAAACCTGCTTTAACGATATGATGCTACGTGAATACGCACCCACTGAGATAAATTAAAATAAAACCAATAAAATATTCGGTTTTGAAAAGACAGCAGAATTATTAGTGAATAGGTATAGTTGATCAGTGGAGCCTAAATTATGTTCACAAAGGGTGCATAACAGGACTGACATTAGCTGTGGAATCAAAAGTTATGACTCGGAAAGAATTCAGCATTGATTCCAAGAGGAAAACCCGAATAAAGGGGATTAAAGTTTGCGAACCTAACCAAACCAGGTTGTTTTAAAGAGAGTTTTGGACCGACTAATTCTTCTGCAAAACATACGACCTCAAGGAAACTGATTAAACCATTTTATGGCGAGATTGTCAAAAGTTTAGTAACTTTGGTGGGATTAGAACCCATACATGATCCTCGTTATAGGATACTTGCATTTATTTCCTCCCAGGTGGTGGTTTCTGATGTATGAGGACAACATTGTGCTAGTAAATTAAGATCCTGGTAGATATATAGTTTACGCGACAGTATAACCATACTCGATATGCGTTTTGCACCTTCAAAGTAGTAAATTTTTTGTGGTGATTGCTCATGAACTATGAACTCTTTTTTATTGAACACGATATCCTTGTACATTCCGAATTTCCGCCTATTAAAATTTCCATTCCGCCTCTGAGTTGACTTCTGATTTCGTTTTGAGTCCTAGTTCTGGGTCGGACGATTAGTGCGCGGAGTCCGATACGTANGTTCTTTACAATACTATTCCAAGTTTATCCCTAACTTTTCAACCCAAGCTTCTCCATTGTTTTATTTAAAGTCACAGCAAACATTTCGATGGACTTCGGTCCATGAACGTGCCTTGAGGAATTTACTTTTCTTTTTATCTACCAGTGCTGTTTTACGTCCTTTCTCCTCACGATTACATTCTACCGTCATCACGGACACATCGCCCGTTGGAATTGGAGCTGTGTTG